CAGTTATAGTTTCAACCATCACTGAAGGAACTTCTTTTAATGTGTTCACAATATTTTTTGTTACAAAGAGAAGGGAAACTCTTAAAATACTGTTTTGTAGTACACACAGAATTAGTGAAACATTTGCTAACAGCTTTAATTTGATGCTGAACTTTCTTCACTGACACATAATGGTCTACTTTGTGAGTGTGGCTTTGTATGCCTGAGTGACTGAATGGGTCTTCCCTCCTAACTGCTCCTTTGCTTCTTTATATCTCTCTGCAAAGGGAGGAGAGGGCAGCAGTCTCATGCCCAAGCGCAGGGTTCCTCCAATGGTATGCTGCGGATGGGGAGGGTGGGAGGGGATTGTGACCCGACTGTCACGTCTTTCAGGGCATGTTTTTGTGAGTCCATTGTCCATATCACTCAGCTGTCGTAGAGATTACGGCTGAGCTGTGCAGGCCGACTCTTGACCTCAGACCTGGTTAAAGATGCAGAAGCATTTCTTGTGTTTGAAACAAATTGAGGTGCACTCAGTCAGCTGTTACCAATACTATTAAACTCGATCACTGAAGAATAGTACTATTTTATGTAGTTACTGGCAACATTTTCAAGGGGATGTCCACCATTTCTGAAGAAAAGCCTCTTTAAGACTTGTGCCTCGTGTTACTGGAGTCATCGTCAGTTGCTAAGCTGTAAGATTTAATATCTTGGAATTTGCGGAATAATTTGGACTACATCTATGTTGCCAGCATACTAGCTCAAGGTCGAGCTGAATCAAGTGCACCTCATGGTTTAAATATTGGGAAAAAAATCTAATCCCAAGATGCTTTGCTCTCAGGTAACCTGTCGATCTGTTCAGCTCACTCGTAAATAAGAAACGTCCTGTATCATAGCATCGTAGATATTAAAAGGTGCAATGCGTTGCCTGGTTATCGCGACCTGGCTTGGTTGGTTGTTTTCAGTTGTACTGACATTAACTGTAATCACCAAGTAACCACTAAGTCACATATTTCTGCTGTGTAGCACAAAGTTGTCAGTTAGTGTAACGAGTCTGTATGTTTTTCACAACACACAAGATAAGAGGTAAGACAAAGAGAACGTAGCCTTTAACAACCATGTAGTAACATTTGCTAAAACACTTGCGTACAGCACAGAAATTACACAGTCGAGAATGATGAAAAAGCAGCTATAAACGTCTCATTCTTTGAGGTTCTTGGGAAAGTCTTTGCTGGAAACACTGTAGTGCTATTTTTTGCTGTTAACCTGCCCCTTCTTGTTCTCCTGATTGCACCCTTTAATAATTTTCATGTTGTCGTCTCATCTAGGTGTGGAATGTGTTGTGTTGTGTACAGAATGTAATGCCTGGAAATAAGTTGAGAATGTAATATACAGTGGTCAAAACCATTAACATGAGAATGTGCGGATGATGTTGATTGTGTGCAGGAGACGGTGTGTGTTTTGCATAATGTGTGTCTGTTTTTCTATTGTTTACACAATGTAGTTTTATGCAAAAGTCTGCCCTTAAATACAGAACATATAGAAAGTCAGTGGAAGGCATTTCAGTCCATCCAAAGGGCATCCAATAAAGTGTGTGTGTATGTTTTTAATAATATGGAGAGAATTTGTATAGATTGAAATACCTTACACTTGATTAACTATCTAATAGGCTCTCTAATATTATATTCCATATGTTTTTAAAGTCATATATTATAGTTGTTGTTGTGTCTGTTGCAGTGTTGTCTGTTGTCCAGTTAAGGTGTCCAGGAGCTCAGCTCTCTCTCCCCTGGTTCTGTTTGTGAAAACATTAACCACATCCCTCTGTTCTGCCCTTCTTTTCTTTCTTTTATTTTGCTTTTCCTTCACCTCCCTCCTTGCCTTACTCTGTCGCTCTCTTCCCTCCCTCCCTGTCTGTCTCTGGCTGTGATCGGACAGCTATAAAAAGGTTGCCTTTCATGAGGAACAGATCCAAGGACAAAGACAAGGCCAAGGCCATCTACCGGCGCTCCATGTGTAAGATCTCTGTTAGCTGCCACGCTAGCCTTCATCTGCCTCCTCTCCCTCCTCTTGTCGCGCTAGGAGAAACAAAGGAGGAGCAGTCACTGATGTCAGGGTGGTGGCGGTGAGGGACTTCAGTTTTCAGTCACATCTGCAGAATTCAATGTTTAAAACTCCAGAGTTTTATCATCCATGTTTTAGAGATGTCTGCAAAGGACCTACCAGAGGATCAATTTTTAAATTCTTTATAGTTTAGTCACCATACCCATCCCCCTGCCGCTCTGCTATACCTGGTGACATCAGTGACTTGTCCTTAAAAGTTTTTCCTAGTAATCCTCACCCATCCCATCACGTCTGCCGCCGCCACTTTCTCCTGTAGAGTATCTTCCAAGTCTTCACTGGCTTTCAGCAGTGTTGTGTCACTTTACTCTCACTATTTGCTGATGAATGATTAACACAACCTTAACACTAACGTTAGTGTTTGTTAGGGCTAAACTATAGGAACAGTGGTGATTTATTTTTTTCTGTTTTCTTTTGTTTGATTTTCACCTCTGGACCAAAACCATGTCATTTGGTCACTTACAGTAATGTGCAATGGGCAGCTTTCTTGTGTGCTTTGTGGTTTTATTTTGTTTGTGTATGCTGAATGAAAGGCCAAGTGTGTGTGTGCGAGAGTGAGAAAAAAGGTGTGTGTGTGTGTGTGTGTGTAAGAGAGAGGGTGTGTGTTCAGGTGAGACAGCGGGAAAGACTGTGGGTTTGCCTTTCATGCGCCTGTGAAATGTGTGCTCCCGTCTTTGATTACAGCATGACAAAGAAAATCACTAAGTGCTTGATCATCGCTCGCACTCACCATGGAGGACTTGAAATGGAGCCTTTATTCTGTCTCTCTCCCCCTCCGTCTGTCTCTCTCTCTCTTCTCTGTCAGCGTGCTGCATTTCAGATCTTATTCTGCTGACATGGGCTTGCCTCGCTCTGATTTATTTATTTATTTTGTGTGTGTGTGTGCACAGCACCACCGCCGTCGCTCAGAGCAGCTTTGCATGTTTCCATGCTTCTTCTTCGCTGTCGTCTCAGTAATCAAAATGCATAGAGACGGTCAAGGATGTCAAAAAGTGTCTGGCTGTGACCGACCGTGCACTTTGGTTGATATGTTGTTGGCTTTTAAAATATGATTATTATAATGATGTACGCCTGCAAGTGCATTGAGTTTTAAAAGGCTTGGACCTGTTATTCTATAGCATGAATTTATTATTGAATATTGACTTGTATCCAGTGATAATTATAGTCTAGATCTGGCCTTAAAGAGCATTTTCCTGCCCTGCCCTGTCAGAGTCCTTCGAGAAGCAAGTCTCAGCACTGGGTAGCCATTTTGAAAAGCCTCTGTACAGTTGTTTATTGCTATCATCTAAATGAAAGCAGAGAGAAGGTTATAGTTGTGTCTGTGCACAGTTTCACAACGTTACAGCTTTGCTAATGGCTCAGTGCTGACACAACTTCTCACATGATCTGTGCTTTTCTCTTTTCAGCACAGCCAATTCATGATACAGTATTACAGCGCATCTTTGCTAAGATAATGAATATGAGATGTGCTTTTCTTCTATGAAACTTAAACATGATTGGCTAATGTATTTTCCATTTTGTCAGTTGATTGGCTCTGCTGGGGCAGCAGCGGGATAACCGTCACCTTTGCTTTTACAGAATCCTTTTAGAGATTATTGAAGGATTCTTTGAGGCCACGTCTGTTTCCTGTAATGTCTCTAGGCACATTCCCAATGGTAATTTAGCCTTTGTCTCCAAGAGGGACCTAGATGAGTGTCCTGCGTACAAAAAAAGTCTTTGCAAGGTTGTTCTTTCCTCGTAAGCATATTTTAGCGACCAGTTTCTCTGATTTTAGTTGGCCTTTAAAGTCTAGATGGATTAAATTGAGACTTCTTTAAGATAAAATGGCTATAAATCCTGAGCCATTACTTGAGGTAAGATTATATGTATTAAAATGTCTAATCTCAGTTTTTTTTTCTTCATGCCAACCCATCCATCCTAGCTATGAACGACCTGCTTCAGACCATGGCAATGGCAGGCGGTCCTGAGGCTCAGTGGGCGGGCAGCAGTGAGAATCTAGACGGGGCTGAAGCCGGAGATGCCAACATGACGGGCAGCAGCAGGCGCAGCGGGCAGCGCATGAAGGAACTCGCCTTTTCCACCAATGCCATTGATTGTGCCACCCTCACCCTGCCTAGTTCAAGTCACAGTAGAGCCAAGCACAGGCTTCAGGTCAAAGGTCAGGATGCCTGTTTGTGGAAATACATTGTGTTAATGTTCTCATTGCATTTAGTTGATGAAATTTGTTCAGAACAGAGTGAAAAGAAGCCGTAGCATGACTGCTCTCTTTATCTCATCAGACAATGCCTCCTGCGAGGATGTCGCCGGCTCATTGGATGATCCCAAGAGTCAAGGTAGAGTAAAGCTTCACACGACATCAGCGCGAAACTGTGTCAAAGAAAAGCGCCTGCAGTCTCTCAGCGCCAGGCTGGACTCTAACAGCCCCTTAAACAAGAAATGAGGGGGAAAAAAAACAGGTCATGTCCTCAGGAGTCCCACTGATAATCTTTGGGCTGCCTTCCTGCACTTTGATTAAGCTTGATTTGGAGTTAGATGGGAGCAAAAGAGACGGGGAGAGGGAGACAGATCATCCTTTGCTGAAAGCAGGATTGACTTTAATACAGGCGCTAGGGTGTTATCCAGGGCAGTTAATCTGGATCCAGGCAACACTTGATCAGGTCTGTGTCGCTTTAATGTAGATGACCCAGTTGCTAAACAGCCACAAAACTACTGGCACACATTCCTTACGTTAGGTCTACAGACAGATTTCTCTTGTTGTGTTTAAGTGCTGCAAACATCTGCACTTTTGATGGTCAATAAACTGGTTCCACAGGATATTGTTCCCAGAATGCATTCTCACTGTAATGGTTGGAGAAGGACGCCCAGTCTCACTCACACAGCGGATGTTGCTCAGAACGTATGAGCCATTAGGTCATCGGATGTTGTAGACACTAATGGTAGTTTCAGACGTGTATTGATTTTTTTCTTCCTCCCCCAGACACTGTAAATAATTTTTTTTTGTTTTCACCTGCATTTCATGAAACTTTATTATTTTTGAGCAGTATTGAGTTGTCATGTTACCCTTTAGGTGTGTTGCATTGTATTTCTTTTGTTTGTTATCAGGGCCACAGGGGTATGTGTCTCCCTGCCATTTGCGTTGTTGTGCTGTTGGTCTGAGCGCTGTGTGCAGAGTGTCCTGTAACATCTGTAGTAAGTGACAGTTACTCGGGACTGAGGATCACTGTGGGGCCACAAGCAATCCGCTGGTTTCCTGACTCTGATACTGATCTGTAACATTGGGGTTGATTTGAAATTCTAATTTGGTGTCAAGCATGTCGTGAAAACCGGTTTGAGATGATTTCACGGTCACTGGTTTTCAGTTGGGGCTGTCCCTGTCCGCACTGGAAAGAGCAAGTTCGTGTTGTCTTCACACCTTTCCTTTTACTCTTTGTCTTCCTTCTCAGTTCCTAACACGGCCTGTCATTTCCTCTTTAATTACTAACAGACTCACACTTGTATCGTCAGTCACTTCCCCTTTATTGGTGGGAAATCGGTCCTTATATTTGGGTGTCCCTGCCCTCTCTGTCAGTAGTTCCTTTGTTTATTGAATGGACATATTGGGGCTGCAGCCTGGCATTGAGCCACCTTTCCTGTCCCTCTGCCTGGCATGTGCCATCTGCTCCCCCAGCAGGAGACGTTCTGTCAGGGTGTTGGCGTCCGTATACGTGTTACTTCTCGCGTTGGTGCATGTTGGTGTGGATACATGTAAGCGTGTACAGATATAAATCCTAACTGTGAATGTATGTGTGCATGTGTCTTACCTCTCGTCCCTTACCCAGCCTCCAGACCCTCCAGTCTTCATAGCAACAGGACCATCAGTAGTAATAGTAACAATAACTCCCATCTCACTTCTCCTCTGGAGGGCAAAGGTATGCTCCTCCTTTCCTCTTCCTTTCCTCTGCTACTATCCACTTATTACTCTTGTCTTTTTCTTTTGCTCCCTTTCATCTCGTTTCTCTCATCATTTCTCAAAAAATTACTTTTTTCTCGCGCAAAAATGTGATCAAGTTGGTTTGGTTCAACTTTAAGGCGTTCTCTTTTCTTCATTGGGTAGAAAGCAATAAGTCATGATGGTAATAAAATTAGATCTGAGTAAAATTATGAGATTGTTTTTTCAGTATAATGCTTTTTAAATTGCATGGTGTGTTCTGAAAGTGTGGGGTAGTCTGATCACTACTAATGCAATCAGAAATCTTGTAATCCATGCCTCCCCTCGTCCTGCAGGCACATTGAACGGCAGTCTGAGCAGGCCTCACAGCGAGAGCAGCGGCGAGTTCAGCCTCAGTCTGGACCAGGAGGTGTGGTCCAGCAGCGGCAGCAGCCCTGTCCAGCAGCCCACCTCCTCACGCTCCTCCCACCAGAGCCCCCTGCAGCTGCGCAGATCTCTTGACCCATCCGCCGCCGCGGGCAGCGCGGTCCAGTCCCAGATCAGGAAGACGGGATCCCCAGGGAACGAGGTGCTTTCCCTGCAGCAGTTCCTGGATGAGGGTATTGATCCTGCAGAGGTGAGGCCTGAAATTCTGCTATAAGTGCTGTTCTTAGATTTATTGGATTACAGCCTACATATGAAGTGGACTAAAATCGAACATGTTCTTCTTTATTAGTCAGTTCAGATAACGTTTGGAGTTGGACGTGAATTGTTTCCATTGTTATTTGTTCTGTCCTTAATGCTGTTTGCTATCTTTTGTAGTCTGGCAGTCAGGAGAACCTCACTGTAGACTCTCCTCGCCTCTCCACCTCCTCTGAGCACGGCCAGAAAGAACGCACTGTCACAAAGGGCCGGGGCATACTGCGCTCGTCCAGCGGGAAGGCAGCACCAGTCAGCGCTGACCGGCCTCCGAGGTCTTCCGGACAACCAGGACGCCCTTCCCTGCGCAAGGCCGAGAGCACACGGGTGAAAGGCTCCGCCCCGATCCGCGCCAGCCTGTCTTCACAGGGCAAAGCGACCTCTGTCTCCGAACGGCTCGATTCAGCCTCCTCCACCCTGCCCCGGGCCAGCAGTGTCATCTCCACCGCTGAAGGTACCACACGGCGTACCAGCATCCACGACCTGCTGTCCAAGGACAACCGGCAGCCCGTTTCGGTTGACGCTCCTGCCGCTGCTGCTTCCACCAGGGCTGGGCTACGCTCGCAGCCCACACCCAGTGAGTACCACCCCAACAGCACCAACCTTAAGGGACCCCTCACCACCATCACCCCCATGCCCAAGTCAGTCAGCTTACCTTGCCATAGCTCGGAGGACCCCGACCTCTCCACCCTTGAGTCTTTCCTCGGCCCTTCCTTCACTGTAGAATCTGTATTCATGGACTCCATCTTTAGTGAGTCAGCAGACAAAAACCTCCCCTTCCTTTCTCTTAACCCCACCTTAGTCAGCAACATCAGCGGGCCTCCTGTTACAAATAAGACCCACCCTCCTCCTGTGCCGCACCACATTCACACCCAAAACCAGACCCCCCACAGCCAATCAAATGGCCAGGTGAGATCCAGCGAGGGTGTTGATCAGAGTTGTGTAAATAATCCGGATCAGTCACTGAGCCCAGAGGAGAGGGAGTCTCTGTGGTATGAGTACGGCTGTATCTAAATGACGGGGAGGTTTCTGGTTTGCTGATTTTAATACTTGACTTGAAGAGGGAGGAACAAAAGGATGGATAAAGAGCAAAGCCATTTCCTCTGCATGTATTCGTCAGAGTACTGTCTGTCTCTGTGTGGTGTATGTGGGTCATTTTTCCCTGTTTACTATGGTGCTGATTGGTGACGTTACTTTAATTTTTTATATTTTTTTTAACCCCCATTTTCTTTTCTATGATGCGGGACTTTGACTGTTCTTCCGTCCAATACCCTTTCACACATTATTTTTACCTCATCAGATAAGTTTTACCTGGCTAACATTATACTATTATCTGCTGCAGTGAGGTGATACATTTTAACTCGGGAATGAGAAGAAATAGAGAATTATCTAAAGCTTTCATGTGAGGCCAAAACACACCGAGCAAGTCGGTTTAAGTCACACCAGGAATCATAAAAACAGCAGGAAAAGCTTTTTTTTTATAATGAGCATAATGAGCATAATGAGCAAAGCATTCTGGGGCAATTTCTACATAGTAAAGTCAGATAATAGGTTCACTTTGCATTTTCTGTTTATTATGGTGATTCTTGGCAAGTCCCACTTTTCACCTCCTAAATTGCATGGCTTTGTTTTGTCTGTTTGACCTGAAACTTTCATTTGGATTGCTGTGATCAAAATGGTTTTCATCCGTTTGTTTCTTATGATGGTGTGTGCTGTTTGTTTTTTGTTTTTTACATTTGATATCTTTTCTGTTTTTCTTTGCTGTGTACACGTTCACTGGAGTGTTTGCTCCCCTCTGCAAATGGATTAATATGATCTGGTGGATCTAAGCTGACCTCCTGGGCTGGTGACAAAATGATGAAGCTTCATTCCCAAAACAATCAGGGCGGCATTTTTAGTTTGAAACGTGAAAGTTAACGGAGAGGACACAGAATCCAGCATTGCAATAGTGATTTGGTTTTACGCAGTTTATGATTGTTTGGGGGGTATTTTAGTTATTTTTTTAGAACGTGGAGTTGATACTGTAAGTTGATTCATTTGAGGTTGTTTTGCGAATGAAGCGAACATCATTCCTTTTGGTATTTTCTCCTGACACGCCACAAGTTGGATAACTTGAGGTGATATTTGAGACTGACCTATCTTGTATAGACTGCTATCATTAAGTTATAATCAAAGACGAGCACTACATATTGTGCCAATACTAGTTGAACTGCCTGTATCTACGTCCTTATTTATTTCTGCTTTTGTACTCTTTAGTTGCTGTTTTGAAGTTGCTATATTGTATTTATCTTGATTCAAAGTATCCGCAGGTATGAAGTCAATGAAAATGGTCTGTCATCACTCTGCAGATGTAACATAAGCGTTGCCTTTGTCCTACAGATGTGGAGGGCAGAAAGTCTAAAAGCAGGAGCGGGGAGCCGCAGCAAAGCTGCTAAACCCTGTCCCCCCCACCCTCGTCTGTCTGCTACCATGCTGTGAGCGCGTGGTGAGTGAGCGAGCGGGAGGAAAAGGGGGAGGGGGGGTGGAGGGTGGGGTGAGTCTTGTCTCCATGGGAACCTAAAACATGGTGTAACAGATGTCGTCCATCCTGCTGTGCGCTTGCTTTCCCCTGCTTCTCTAAGCTGTTACTCCCTCTCCCTCACTGTCCTGTCCATCCCCTCACTGTCACTGTGGTGCCAAACGCCTGTTCAAGGAGCCTGATGAGACCCGTCTGCATGGCATATGGGCCATTTTACCGTGTAGCTCTCAGTGTATGCTGCTTCCCCCCTCCCGGATCTCAAATCCCTCGACAAGACGAGCCATTCGGCTCCAGCAGCTCACCGTTTCCCACTCCTTCATAAAGCATCTCATGCTGTTGGCGACTGCTGAGTGAAGAAGTCTGTGTTTGCAGGCTGCTTATTGTTGCTGCATGGCTTTGGTGTAGCGCTCAAATCCTTCCCTCTTGCATGTAGATCCAGGCGTCCTACTGTGTTCGCTTGTCACGTCTCTGTCTTTGCTGGTACAGCTTCTGATCTTTAACTTTCTCCTTTGTCTGTTTTCCATCTCCTTTCCTTCTTTTATTTTTCTCAACTTTCTTGTCATCTTTCTTTTCCTATTCTCTCTACTCCTCTTTGATTGCTTGGGACTCAGAGAAAGGTGGCCTTGGAGCTGTGTGTCTGAAGCCTAGTAGGGTGAATCTGCTGAGACCGTCTACAGTGAGAAAAGATTGTAAAAGCCTGTCTCAC